CACACAACACACACACACACACACACACACACACACACACACACACACACACACGCACACATGTACACATCACAGTAACCTTTACACCAGGTTGTCAAGTCGAGACACATCGATGCTATACTTAATATGTGATATACATGTATTATAGCCTCTGATACTGATGGGCACAATGAGAGGAAACAAGAGAGCTAGCTGAGGTAGCGATGAAGGGGCGGATCCCGATATTCTAGAAAGGAGGCGGTGGGTTGAATGTGAATTGAAGTTAGGGATTACCTTAAGTTATATATACATTGAGATATATTTAAAAAAAAACCTTCCATGTGCCCTTGTGATTTTTCGCAGCCATAAGCCTGTGAGCCATGCGTATGGATTTGATTTCGTATAGCATAGTGCACACAATGCGGTCCTTTTCTACTCGTTTATTCTGTAATATGGTAGATTTCGTTTGGAAACCGCAGCTAAAGACGCTACCGTTCGTTGGCCCCCTACTACCGCTGCCAGATCACGTTTCAGTAATGCACGAGATGTTGTGCTTATATTATTTACAGAAGCTCGTTGTGGTTCGCTAGCGGTTGGTGACAAGTTGCTTGCTAGAAATAACTGGCTTGATAGTCGAGTCGATTTAATTACGAACTGCGTTTAACTACGATTAGCTTCGAAGCTCGACTGAGAATGACAGTCGCACGGAAGCCAGTCGTAATGTTAGGAGATCGCAACATTCCGCGGTCGCAATCACTGTAAAATGACACGCCGCTGCCGACGAGTATTTAACGAAATAATAACCAGGAAAAAATCTATTAATGATAATATTGACTCGTAACAATAACCTTTTCTATGTGCGTTTATTTAAGTAGCTAGCTACATACGCACACGCACTCACGCACAAACAGCGCGCGCGGCATGCACGCACGCACGCACGCACGCGCGCGCCATACTCTACCACACGTACGCCCGCACCCACGGATGGATGCACTTACATTGAGTACTGGTGACCTGTTCGTCGGCAGCGACCATCCGACTGAGAATGACGTCAGTTAGATTATTCATTCATTAGTATTTAGCTGCTGCGGGCAATACGACGGAGCCACTGAAATCTGCGGCTTGCACACACAGTTGCAATCTCTTCGTGCTTCCATGCGATACAAAGTCCGTAGCCCCAGCGAGTTGGTGCACACTTCCTGTTACCCAATCTGAATCCTTGAAAGATTCCAGTGGGGCCTTGGATTGTTATCCATACCTCCGGCGGGACCGTGAACACTTTCCGTGCTTCGCGAGGAGCCAGGGTAAACGACGGCTCCGTCCCCGGAGAAATGTCCCACGCGAACTCTTCCACCATCACGACTGCGTGTGATAGCTTTACTTGACTGTGAAACCGAGGAAGCTAGCTATCATACTCCGCGGAGAAACACGTGCACTCTCATTAGTTGTGAGTGCGGGGAAAACGGGCAATGAGGCAGCAGTCGAGTCGGTTTCAGACGTTCGAGCGTGCGACTGATCAGCGATGCTTGGTCGCGACTAGATCTCTCGTCTGTTGTGTTGGCCCGGTGCTGTAGTATGCGCGCGTGCATAGGTACGCGCGGATGGCTATAGTTCCTCAAGGTGCGGCTTTCGTCTTACTTCTGGGAAACGGATTTGTGGTAGGGGAAAGCACATTGCACTGGGTACACTCGATCGCTCACTATATAAACATCACAATCGATGTACGATCGAGGAGTATTCCTTTGGGTTAATCGCGTTACTTAGCGGGTTCTTTACGCTTGTCCTTCGAGCAGCACGCCAGCCAGCTAACTGTATGCACGATCAGTGCGCTATGGATTGGTGACGAGTCAAATTAAGCGTCGCAAAGGAAATCAGTTCAGACGGCGTCATTTCATGCGCGACGCGCGTGCAAGAATTGTCAACGGTGATGGGCATTGGCGCCTGCTGCTCCCGACTATTGCACACTGCGAGGTAGCCCCTCCTGCGCGTAGGAATATCTACCCGCACACCTCTACAGCCTACTAAAGATTCGCTTATGTCGTTATGTTATGCTGTATACTTATGCGAAAAAAATCACCAGACCGCTCCTATGTTTTGCGGGCTACCACGCAACCGTAGAGTATTTCCATTGGCCTATTTCCTGGCGTACTTCCGATAGCGTTGCGATAGCTATAGCTGTGCTTTGCTTTCGTGTGGTCTTGTATCAGAATCACAAAGCAATTTTCAATGCAATCCTATATATATGTTTAGAAACGTGCATGTGGGGTAATACATATTGTGTTCTATGCCGTAAATAAAACATTCCGTTAGTTGCCATTGAGAACTGCTTTAGATAGACTATTATGGAGGTAAAATTATGCTGCCAGTAATCGTTACAAAGGCAAATTCAACGGCTGTTTAAATGCAGTAAGTGATGATAGAAATGGCACCGTCTGTGCTTGCAAAGTGCGTTCGAGCTGGTATGCATGCACAGGAATAACAATGGTCCACTAACCATTAACCTTTTGTCTAATTTACTATTTATTACGCTCTCGCACAAAGCACGCACGCAATCAACAACAACCAAATTTTGAACAGGAATAACAATTGCACTATGCCATTACCTTTTCCTAATTTACTATTTTTTGTTACCGTTTCGCAAAACCACGCGCACCGCAATCAACGCCAACCAATTACAACAGCTATAAACCATAATAGCATAATAACAGCTACAATCCTACATAGCAGAACGCTACTCCGATGGCGGATATACTAGTAAAAGTAATGTATAGGAAAGTCGTGCAGTCTAAAATATGCACGGGCCGCAGTACACGCGCGATTAAATCCGGTGTTGCCGGTGTCCGATGCTTTCCAAACGTTGTGTCGCTACTTATGGGGACCCAAATGGGAATGAAATCTTGTAAAACGAACCAGACGAGTGTGACACCACAGACTGTTTGTGTTTATATAATATGCTATATAATTGCCAAACCCTACCTAATTTGCAATTTTTTTTTAAATATCAAAACCCCTAGCCATTATTCATTCACATACCAAAAATGAGCAAAATCCGTTGAACCTGAACTGACTAATGGCAATTCCCATTTTTGCCAAAAAATTAAAAATTGGTTCGAAAGTACGTCGACTGGCGTGCTACAAAATAGAACGTTCCATATGGGAGCATAGCAGTAACAACTACACCAAATTTCAAACATGTGGGTCAAACGGTTCCTGAGTTATCGTTGACCGAAACCAAATGTTGACGGACAGACGGACGGACGTACGACGGACGACGACCCATGGCAATAGCTCAACTTAACGATGTCAAGGAGAGCTAAAAATTAATCAAAAAATGGAAAATAAGATCAGTGCGTCGTTGTGCGCCCCACTTTTGTCCGAATTTGGGAGAAGCTAGCGAGTTGACAACGAATGCACAGCCTGTTGCTAGCGCGCTGCGCGTATACAGGGCACATACAGAGCGTATACAGGGTGCACATGTTAAAAAATCCAACGAATGCACGGTCCGCGCATGCACCGCGCATTCAACGCACAGCCAGCGAACGATCAGGTCAGCAAACAAACAGGTCAGGGATATGGTGTTGTGAGGCACCCTCCACCCATAGGACATTGAGTGATACTTGGTCCCAGAGGCAAGATGCCGCAGAGTGAGGGCAATTAAGCTTCAGGCCAGGGTCGAGGGCCTCTCTGTAGGTTGTATTCTGCTTGGTGATCCTCGGACCCATTCTGGTTAGCAGCTCGTCGAACATCTCGGGGGGCATCCACATGAAGTTCTTGAAAGCTGCCTGGTCTTCGTTACGAAGTTCAACAAGTAGCTGGTCATACAGGCCAAACTGTCGTCACCTACCGATCTACGGTTGGACCCAGAACCTCCGTTGACCTCTTCTCTTTCTCCTTCTCCTGATGACATGGACTTGGTGAAGTGCCAGTTCCATGAGGTTCTGCTGATGTTGGAGTATTGTAGTTGCAGCCTGTCGGGATCCTCCATCTTCTGAGGTGGTTCTTCTAGACACGATCAGCAGGAACCTCTGTCATCAGCCATGAGGGTCGAAGGAGAAGTGATGATGAGGAGGTGGGGCGGGACCCGTTTATATACCCCATGGCTACACGCTGCGTACACGCTAGCAACATGCTAGAAGAACGCTGGGCGCGCTACAGACTCGTTCAGCACTCGTTCAGCACGCCCATATTCGCTGCATGTTCGCTGGACATGCGTTAGAAGCACGCTAGGTGTGCGCTAGGTGGTCGCTACACCTCAGCCGACGAACATACAACGAATACCCAGCGTGTGCTTCGCGTGTGTCTGGCGTTGGTCCAGCGCGCTCTGTGCGTGTCTGGCGTCCTTCTGGCGTGTACATTCATGCGTCGAGCTCTGCGCACATTTTTGTGCATGCACAAAAATCCCGACGCACACAGCGAATGACAATAAATGCATAGCGTTGGTCCAGCGCGCTCGACGAACGAGTAACGAATGCTGACGCACACCCAGCGAAAAACAACGCACTGGCCAAAATTGCTAATTTTTCCAAGCGTCGTGTATGTGTGACTGGGCCATTACGAACGTATAGCAACACAGTGATGTTTACACGTCCAGGACACAGCGAAGCGATCGGCTCGATTCATTAACAGTTCCTTTCTATGATAAAACAAGTTATAATTCATTATTCGATGTTTATTCATACAAAATTGTGAAATTTGTTTAAATCATATCGTTATCTATATTACTTATGCAGCCAGAAAACAAATATAGTGTTTTCGTTCCAGGAACTATTAGCACTAGTGTAGCCTACTAGGGCTACTGCTAGCTGTGTAACAAAACCGCGTCCGACGGAGTTTTCAAAATAGTTAACTTCGGAGCACATTTCTGGCTCAATGAGAACATTTCATGATGTTTGCACACTGCAAGTATGCTCACAGTAGGTCAATATATAGGCTTTTTGTTGTGAGGTTTATCCATTTCAAAGAGACAATGTCACTCAGCATGGTCTTATGCGATACCAAACAGATGCAACGATCACTACTAGCTGATTCATCGCTATGCATACCTGGCAAATTAGATAGCTGTTATTAATGCTGATAGGGTCTATATCCCCCGGGGTACTGCCGGAACGTACCCTGGGTACGGTCCGGTATACCGGAACGTACCCTAGTAACTATCTAATATGCCGGACCGTACCTCGCCTACTCCAAACCGTAGCGTACCGCTGACTATTCAAGCCGTGTCGTATACATAAGCCGCTTATTTGTTTTTGGTTTTTTCGGTTGTTTTTTTTTTTGTGTTTTTGTTTTTGTTTTGTTTTTTGTCGCAGGAAATGCGCGCGCTATTATGCTCGCCGTTCCGTTCCCGCAAAATATTTGTAACCCTGTCCGTTAATTACCCTGTACGTTTCACCCTCCCGTCTAGTCTAGTGTCTCCTGTCTAGTGTCAGCAAGTCTATACGTTTTCAACCCATCAAGATAATCATACAAATTTTTCCTGTTCGCACCCACACACTTGAGCCATCTTCAAAAATCTCGCGCGAAAATGCGCAAAAATGTCATAAACATTGCCGAAAGGAAAACACATTCCGATCATCGCGATATTTGCAAAGGATTGGCGCGCATACAGTGTAATATAGGTTGAAATTTCTTGGTTTCACAGTTTTCATACTCCAATCCAACTTTATAAAGATATCATACAGGTCTGTATGTAATATTTTAAATTTTGCGCGACATCAGTAGTGGCGGAACAGGGACAGTCAGGGTACGGGTAGGGAGTAAGCGAGGTACGCGTCCGGCATATCAGATAGTTACCAGGGTACGTTCGGTATACCAGACCGTAACAGGGTACGTTCCGGTATACCGGACCGTAACCAGGGTAGCGTTCCAGCAGTACCGCTGGGGGAACATACGACCCTATCAGCGTTATTATAATGCTAGTAACCTGCTGTTGATGAATAAGATGGCTGCCTTGGCTGATGACTGCAGTCACATGCGGGATGATCAGGAGGCATAGTTGAATGTCATTATCTCAGTAATCTCAGTCCCTGCGTGTAAAGAAGAAACAAGCAATGCAGCAACGTAATTTTGTACTAAACGGT